ACACAAACACAACACACTCATCACAACACAAACACAACACACTCATCACAACACAAACACAACACACTCATCACAACACAAACACAACACACTCATCACAACACAAACACAACACACTCATCACAACACAAACACAACACACTCATCACAACACAAACACAACACACTCATCACAACACAAACACAACACACTCATCACAACACAAACACAACACACTCATCACAACACAAACCACACAAACACAACACACTCATCACAACACAAACCACACAAACACAACACACTCATCACAACACAAACCACACAAACACAACACACTCATCACAACACAAACACCAAAACACACTCATCACAAATAATCACATTAATATTTAAGTACAAAATTCGAATTTAGTTTTTCAGTCATTTTGACAGCCCTAATTTGAAGGTCTTATTTTGAGGAAGGGTGACTCTAGGAGTGTTTTAAGGCGGCTCGAGCAGCATGTGTCTTACGTGGAAGATCTGGTTGGAGAGTTTGGCGGTCGTCTCAAAGTCCCAGGCGATGAGCGTCCGGTCGGAGGAGTCTCGACTGACGGCGTCGGTGCTGCTGACGAACTCTCTCCCGCCGCTCAGGAACAAGACAGCCAGCGTCTGCTGAACCGCCGCCTTATAGACCCGCAGCATCTGGAGACACAAGCACAGAACCGCTGAGACACTGAGCGCAGAGGATCATGGGAAGGCTCTGAATCAGACTGACCTTACAGCAGCGAGCGTCCCAGGCTCTGACCTCTGGACTGAAGCCTCCGCACACAAAGACGTCGGGATCAGAGGGTCGCGGAGCGACGCAGCACACCTTAAATCCATTCTCCATCTGTGTGATCGTCTTCCCTGAGGAACATCAGTCAATCAATCAATCAATCAATCAGTCAGTGTCATGAGTTTATCACAGCATCTGTGAGCTCTGCTGAAATGTGACCCTGCAGCACAAAAGCAGTGTTGAGTCGCTGGGGGATATTTGTAGCAATAGCCAACAATACATTGTATGGGTCACAATTATACATTTCTCTTTTATGCCAAAAATATCTTCATGGAACATGATCTTTACTTAATATCCTAATGATTTTTGGCATAAAAGAAAAATGTATAATTGTGACCCATACAATGTATTGTTGGCTATTGCTACAAATATCCCCCAGCGACTTAACACTGCGTTTGTGCTGCAGGGACACATAGTTTATTTACATCAATTGTTTAGTCTCTTGCAATAGAGGTTTTCTGTTTTCACACGACTCTTTAGTGTATTTTGCAATGGTGATCTTAGTGAACTGCATGGAATCCAGTGGGTGTAACCTGCATTATCAACATTTAAACTGATGACAGTCTGAAGATTGAGCCCTGTGTTTGGAGCACAGCTGAATGACTTCATGCAGGACTGACGACACTGAGTGATGCGGCGTGTCTCCTGACGAGGGAACACTAGATGAGGAGCGGTGCAGTCAGGAATAGAGCGTTCGGCCCGCGGCTGATGAAGCTGCGCTCCTCTGACCCTCCACAGAGACGCTTCCTGTGCTCCATTATTAAACACACACACACACACAGACACACACACACAGACACACACAGACACACACACTCACAGACACGCACACAGACACAGAGACACACACACAGACACAGAGAGACACAGACAGACACACACACAGACACTCATACAGACATGCACACTCACAGACACGCACGCACAGACACACACGCACAGACACACACGCACAGAGACACACACACACACTCACACACACACACACCCACCCACAGAGACACACACACACCCACACACCCACACAGAGACACACACACACACACACACACACACACACACACACACACACACAAACACACACACACACACACACACACCC